ACATTGATAAAGGTGGCGAATCGCAGTGTATCAGGATCGGCGGGATCAGCAAAGGGGTTGAAATCGAATTTCAAATGCCAGAATTCTCACCTGCCCGGCAGAAGGCACAGCATTGCCATTGGAGTGTGCGCTACACGTGACCAAGAGTACACACACACACACACACAATTGGCTGCTGCTGCTGGTAATGGTGGTGGTGGTGTTGGTGAAGGCACACGATCGACCTTTTGTGTGGTTAACGCCCGCCCGTTGTTTGTTGGCATCTCGAAGATCTCTTGACATTTCAACTGAATGCCAGTTTGATCTCTTTTTTTACAGTGTACTCTTGTAGTTTGGCATTCTTTAGCAAATTGATTACAAGAAAATGATGTTGTTCGTTACGGATTATCTGTGTTGCCTCATCTCCCTCTCTGTCTCTGCTCTCTATCGCCTTTCTTTTGGCACTTGCCTACCGGGTTATGCATCATTATTTGACTTGACTTGATCCATTCTTCTAGGGAATTCGGAGGCATGCGGCAATTAGATCGTTCTGCCGTTGTCTCTGTTGACTCTGCTTTATCCTTTTCTGCTTAACGATCGCTCCCTCTGGACTGGAGCTTAGCGTCTCTCTCTCTCTCTCTCACTCTCTCTCTTTCTCGTAATATGCTCAGAGCGAAGAGTGCGAATCAAACGCCATTTGCACTAACGTCCCAAATTTGTGTCGTCGACTCCATTTTGTGATTGAGCAAGGGTTGTACAAGCATCGAAGGGGGTTGAAATTGCCGCACGAGTGACGGGGTTGCAATTTTATGTTCATATTCATGCAACCAATCAACCCCAAAGTCCGGCACACGTGTCAAAAATTAAACAAAACTGTTTGACAATCTGCCTCATCGCCCACAGCCAAACGAATCCTTTGTCGCTGACCCCTTTTTAGTAAACCCCTTTAGTAAACCAACGCCAGGGCCAGTCTAACCGCAATTAAAGTTTTTCGAAGGTCCAATCTACTTGTCTATAAAACTGTTCATATCTTACATATACTACCCCTTTAGTTAATTGGTCTTTCCTTAACAAACTTTGTGGATTCAGTTTCATCCTTAAACAGATATCTAGCAAAAGGCACAGTTATATACATAGCTTAGAGAAGTTTTGTTTGATTTCTTATACATATTTTTGCAGGCAAAGGAAATCGATTATTGTAGTCTCAAAATGATTTTCAGAACGACCATTTCTCAGCATTTAAGTTAGTGGTTTATATATGGCGAAAATATATGTAGCCAAGATTTTAATAATGTGCTCACTAGTGACATTGTGAATCGGAATTTACTATATCTTTTGTAGCGTGACTATTTAATGTTTGAGATTTATAATAGAAAATCCAATATTATAATATCAGTCTCTCTATCGTTTATTTATCAACGTTCCATATAAGCCTATAGCCTCTACAGTTTTAGAGATAAAAAACTCGAATTTTGATCAATGATTTTTGTTTTCCTCCTCTTCATATCGACGAAAAATGAAAGACCAGGGAAAATGTCACTGATAGGGTATTATTTTTAGTGCTTAGTATATACACTACACTACTTGTAGTAAAAGACAATAACTAACATACAT